AACCTAAATTGGTCCCATATTATAATTTTCTCAAATCTAAAACTAAAATCCAAACATTGGCTACTTGCTTTGTAGATAAGAAAGAATCCAGTCCATGTTCATGCATTGGTCAATCAAGTTGATAAAAAATAAAAATAAATAAATTAAATATTCTAGTTCATGTATCGATCAATCAAGTTGATAAAAGAATATGAGAAAAAGGTGTCACCATCCTTAACTTTTACTATTCTAAATCTTTATTCGTTTTATTCTCAATTACATTTTTTGACAATTTTATTTTTGATTTGTCATTTATTGGCAGACATCGCGACCATCAATGAATTGCTTCCAAAAATATAGTCAAATTTTCATCATAAAGACATACATTGAAAACTGATCTTAGAATATCAATTATGTACAACAACTAGCAAGAATCAAGATACATAGGATTTAGTATAAACAATTGAATTCGAAAAAATAATTGTCTTCAAAAAATGTGGGACTTAATTATCAAATTGGATCTTTAATTCCAATATGCAATCTAACATATAAAAGAAATTAGAGATTGATAAAGTATAATCTGATCTATCAAATTATTTAAACATGGTTAACATACCCCTTCATAGGAGCAAAGTCAGGATTTTTAGCTTTTGAAAGCACTAAAGCGATTAGTGGTAGTTTTACAGTGTCGACAACACTGCAATGGCCTGTATCGCTCATAGCAATGGCGACTGAGCCACAATTTGTAGAAAGAACGACATTTGAAGAAAAATAGTAAGATGGTTATTTTATCATTTATGAAAATTGTATTTAAAAGGAAAAAAAAAATATTTTTATTTTTATTTTTCAAATTTTAGAATTGGAAATGAAGGAATGCTAAGGTCTCAAATAACTAGAAAGAATGCTACTGTGATGTAGGTGTCTTTCGCAGTTGACAAATGGAATAAATGGCTATCTTGTTCTTTATAAGGATAAAGCTACTTAAACTGGGAATTCAGACAGGGTTTGAAATCAGATACACGTGGCGTCTCTTGACTTGCCGGTTTTTGTTTCAAAATTTTCCATCCCCCAATGTTATGATGCCAACTGTATTTGTACGCAATTCCCTGGTTTTTAAACCTGTTTTTCTAGCATTGTTCTCTTTATAATTGTCCTTTTATATCAGCAACTACTTCGTCTCCAAAATCTTGGTTGGTACAACATTTTTTTTCCTTATCCACCTTTCGTGCTCTCAACATTTCCCATGACACTATGGTTTCTGAGTAGTATTCATTTTGCCTAGTAGTTTAATTTTGGGTGGAATTGGAACCTGGTGACTAACTAAAATTTTAACAAAACTTCGGTGACTTAAATGGTACCAAAAAAAACTTGATTGATGAAAATTAATTTTTTGGTAAACTTCAGTGACCTTTTTTTTAAATCATTATTAAAAATAATTTGCCTCCGTTTTGTGAAATCTACATCCATACATTAGAATTTAAATATAAGAGTCTGTTTGATAGGTAAAGGCGAAAATGAATTCCAATTCCATGTTAGTTGGAAAATAGAAACCCACAAATCTCATAGGAATTCGTTTTCCATCAAAACGAAAAAAATGCAGTTTAAAGTGGTTGTACCTTGAAATTGAGTTTCTATTTCCACATTGTAATCAAACGGACAAAGTGGAATTCGTTTTTCTCGAATGTGACATTTTACATGGAATTCGTTGTAATCAAACATGGTCTAATTGATAAGTCGAGTTCAAAGATTTGTATGTCCCTTCATCCCTAAAAAAAAAAAAAAACTCTTTCAAGAGGATAAATTATTATTTATTTATATACATTCAATTCCCTCGTGTGTAAAAAATGGATGCAATTTTTGAAAAATATTATACATTAAATACTTAGTTACAATCGCAAGCCACTCACATTTAGCTATCATATAAAATGACAAAGATTAACCTTTTGAGGGGAGAAGAGTTTCTTGATTCATACGTTCAAGGATAATACTATAAAAAATAAGAAGAAGAAAATCACCTTAGGTTACCTAATTAAAATCTAACCTATTTTGACTGCAATTCGACAGTGAATATGTTAGTCTCACCTACACCACCTTAGAAAAGAATAACTACGAAAATCAAAATATAAGAGAAATAATGTTACTTTCTACAAATTAATCTTTCCAATTTTAACCGATTTTGAATTTTAGAATCGAGAACTTGACGGTTCTCGTCTGTTCTCTATTCGAGATAAAGAATCAAATTCAGTTCGATTCCAATTACTTAACACCACGAATATAATTATAGTTAGACCACGTCAAAATTACATTTGCATGAACAATTTGAGAAATGCATATATTTAATTTATTGGAGTTGGACTATGTCAATCTTCTAACCTGTCTTCTTTTGCGCAGAAACATTCAATTTTGTCATTGAATACAAATTCTAACCATCACAAGAACATTAGACAAAATGATTTTATTAGTCTAATTTATAATTTTTATGTTAATACAAAGACAAGGAAGAAAGACGCAAGAAAATGAAGAATATAGTATATAATTGAACAAGATTCGCGACAATTCAAATCCGTCGAGTACACGGTCTGATTGAGGACCGACCAGACTTTGATGAGAAAG